TCTGCTCGATGCCGAAAGCCCTGTCGCAGAGTTCCCATCGCTTGAGCGGCTCAAAATAGCTATCACCAAACAAAAACAAGCAACATCTGGTACTTGACGAACTTTTGGTGGCCTTGAGCGCGAGCTATTGCGCAGTAATCGCTTCCGTATTATCTAAAACACATGTGGCTAAACAGAATATTTAGTTCGCTAGCAAACTAATAAACCTGGCGCAGAATGGTTCTCCCACACCCCCTTCCCCTTCCTGCCCCCGCTTCCTCCCTGCGACGCCTGGCCCTTCCTCACTCTTCGGTGAGAAGGAGGAACGAGAAGCAGAGAACGTTCTCGCAGCGCAGATGAAAAGTGCGCTGGAAGGTTCGCACACCCAGAAAAACCCTTGACAAACACTGAGCAATGTCCTTGGTCCTTCGTAACATTGCCTCCTCCTTATAAATGATTCAACTGGGCACCGAAAGGCGTGTCTGGCACGTGCAGCGTCTCTTGGCTTCTGACACATTCAACACTAATTATTGAAGTGGAAACGAGTCTCTTCTGCATTTGACTTCACTGGGTCAATACAACCTTATAAGCCACAATACGTCCAGTTTTGCCATCAAATTCTCCCCTGGATAGAGAAAGTGTAGTGCAAAACAATTCCCACGCAAGCGAAGACTACCTGAATTAATTCCTTCCCCCCCCCTCCCCGCTTTTTTATCGTACTGTCAAATACAGTTTTTTCGATACAATTTTGCATGTTCAGCGATTTTCGAGGGGTACCCAACGTACAAGTCACTGTTATTACTGTGTTAGACAAATCCTAGTGCCAATCAAACCACCTCAGAAGGATGAACGGCGTTGTTGGTCCTGTTAGGATTCGATCACCGGCATACATTGTGCTTAGCGGCGCCACTGGTGAAATCCTAGTTTGGAGGGGGGGGGGGGTCGGAGGAACACTTCATTGTGCTCTCATACTATTACCTTATCTTATCTTACTCTCAGAGAACCGAAAGGAGTGCTCCCTAGGAGGACTCGGGAATTACAGCGTAGCGGCTAATCAAAATACGCGCGGGTTAGCTGAGCCGTGGAGCAGGCAAGTTCGTACAACTCGTCTGGCCCCGCCCCTTCCTTTTTCAAGGGGAATTTCCGTTTTGGGTCTTATCGACGGTTTTCCTCGCTTCTTTTTTTACTCATTAGTCTTGCAACGTTTTGGGAAAGACATGAATAGTGCTGCGTTTGTGCAGTATTTGAGCTTTGAAAAACAAAAAGATATAGAAATGAATGACAGACGCCAAGCCATGCAAACTCTCTCAAATCTCTTGTCTTACCAGCAGATATTTCCGCCCCTTTTCAAGCTCTCCTACTTTTTTGTTTACTTATCCGCTAAACATCGCTATCACAACATCCCTACCACCGCACCCATGCCAACTACATCCTACCAAGGTTAACCGTCCGCAGTACCCAGATTTCGAACTTTGCACGACCTCCTCTCCCTTCCTACGCGTTCAGTATGGGTGTATGTCAACAGAATCGTCGGCATTGCCGCGCTGGTGGGCGTGGCTTCAGGCCTTGCGGACAGATGGGACGAGTATCACGCGTGTCCACTTGCCAGATATCCGATGGCCCGATGGCATTGGTTACAAGACTTCTGTCAACCTAGAGAGAAGGTTTAGACTAAAAACGCATAGCTTAAGATTAAGTTATTACCAGTTGGCGCCGCACGCATTGCGCGCGCAACACAGATCTGTGGCGAATTTTGATGGTGCGACGAAAAATTTCAAATTTGGCTTGATACAATACGAATATCTGAATTCTCCGCTAAATTCTATGCGCTCTTTCTTCGTCAACCATTATCCTATTTTTCTCGGTCCTCGGCCCGGACAATAAATCTCGTGGCGAACTCCGTCTACTTCGGTGCGTGCCCTGCCGACCAATAGCATTTGGCTCCCTTCTTTTCGCCGACCTCTACCCCCTTTTTCACCGGTCTCTGGGACCTCTCTTGGAACCAAATTACGACACTTTTGGCAAACTCCGCCCACTTAGGTGCGTGCTCTACCCAGTGATAGCAGTTGAGCTCTTTTCCCTCACCAACCTCTAACCCCGTTTTCCCCTATCTCTAGGACCTCTTGCAACCGAATTGCGACACTTTTGGCAAACTCCGCCCACTTGGGTGCGTGCTCTACCCACTAATAGCATTTGACCTCCTTTCCTTCGCCGACCTCTACTCCCTTTTTCCCAGCCTCCTGGACTTCTTGGGGCCGAGTTATGAATTTTCGTCGCAAACTCCGCCCACTTTGGTCATGTCCCTCCCACCATTGACAGCTGGCCTCCACTCCTCCACCCACCTCCATCCACCTTTTCCGCGGCCTCCGGGACTTCTTGGAGCCAAGTTATGAATTTTCGTCGCAAACTCCGCCCACTTTGGCCAAGCCCCGCCTACCACTGGCCTTTGACCTCCACTTTCCCACCCAACTATATCTTCTTTTTTCCCCTCTCCGGGACCTTCTGGAGCCGAGTTATGAATTTTCGTCGCAAACTCCGCCCACTTTGGTCAAGCCCCGCCCACCGATGACAGCTGGCCTCCACTCCTCCACCCACCTCCATCCACCTTTTTCCCAGCCTCCGGGACTTCTTGGAGCCGAGTTTTAATTTTCGTCGCAAACTCCGCCCACTTTGGTCAGGCCCCGCCCACCAATGACAATTAACCTCCACTCCTCCACCCACCTCTATCCACCTTTTCCCCAGCCTCCGGAGCTTCATGGAGCCGAGTTATAAATTTTCGTCGCAAACTCCGCCCACTTTGGTCAAGCCCCGCCCACCATTGACAGCTGGCCTCCACTCCTCCATACACCTCTATCCACCTTTTTCCGGCTCTTTAGGACTTCCCCGACCCGAATTATGAGGGCTTGTAGAAAATGCTGTACACTTCAGAGCGCGCCCCGCCCATTCTGGGCAGGCCTCCGCCCACGTCATGTATGCAGGAAACACCTTAGACATTGCTCCCTTACACCAAATTGTTTTCTGCTCTGTAGGCTTTCTCCCAACCGAGTTATGAAATTTTTCATAAAGCACTGCTTTTTTAGAGAACGCCCCGCCCACCGGGGGTGGGTCTCCCTAATTCGATGTTACTTACCAATGCACACCTTAGCCCACTTTTTGGCCCAGTTTCGAGGTCGTTTTTTCACTGAAATCGAAATCTTGGTCTTTGGTACAATTCATTTCGACGCACGCCACGCCCTCTGTGGGCGGGGCTCCGCTTAGCTGATGTGTGTTTTGTATTACGTGAGACCCTGCCCACCCATCCCACACTTGACCCGGTCCCTCCAGGCGGATCCCGAGGAGCTAGGGAATTTCGTGACAGACATACAGAACGACAGACGACAGACGACAGACAGAGGGACAGAACGACAGACGAAGCGCTTTATAGTATGTAAGATAATGGAAGAGACATGTCATATATGTATATATATATATATAGCGCTCCAGACAGCACTACAAAATGATAGAATTCCTGCCTCACGGTTGACAGATGCCCTGAAACCGACGGCATTAGCCTTGTTACTAGTCCGGTAATTGAACACTTCCGAACGAATCCCCTATCAACACAACCAAGACACAAAAATCCAAATAAAGCTTCCCCTGTGAACCTGCGGCCACATCGCCCGACGCGTTAGCGCCCGTTGACCGACCTTCCCACTGCACCTTCACTGCACTTCGGCCACAATTTCGATCTAAGTGAAGTAGCACATGGTAACCTCAATAAAACTCTTTCCATTTTTCAGAATGCTCACGACGGCCGGGCGGCGGCTGTCGCGCGTGTCCGCGTCACCGCGGCCGCGAATGCGGAACTACACTCTTGGCAACATGCCACCACCGCCGGCGGTGAACATTCGAACACACGATCAGATTTCGCCACAGGAACGCAAGTATGTGCACCTATTCTGACACCATCTTACAGCATGTGGGAGAAAGTTTGGGTCTATTCCAGTTAGGGGGGGCATCATGATGCAGTTTTTCCAGAAAGCTAGGGTAACTCCGAGCCAGGGGAGTGTAGCCAGTCTAGGGGGGGGGTGAGGGCAGTCACTTGACATGCGTGAAAAGCTGGAATGTTCGAGTTCACACTAGTTCGCCGAGAAACTGCATCATGATGCCCCCCTAACTGGAATAGACCCGAAAGTTCCTTCAAATGTCATTTTTGCAGATTCCTCGAGGCAGCCGAAAGAGGTGACAAGCCAACACTACAGGAATGCCTTCTCACGGTATCTTTACCTCCCTTAACATCATTAAATTTCGAATTTTTGAGACATTTTTTAGACATTTGCTCAATTGTTCTTTAGGTTAGCAGTTCTACTTTTTTTACTGGAAAATAAGAAAAAATGTTTTATTTCTTTCGGAATTTTTGGATCCTTCGGTTCTGGCAGCTTACTTTCTTTGAATGATGAGTTGATTTCGTTCAGAAAGAAGGCGAAGCGCCACTGAACGTAAATTGCCTTGACTCGATGGGCCGATCAGCGTTGGAAATCGCCGTTGACAACGAAAACATCGAGGTAGGTCGTTTTCCAAGAGCATTCACCCTCCAAAGTTTGACAAGACTACGGGCTAAGTGGTATAGTGGCGAGGGGCACCGTTTATTACATCCGTGGCCCGAGTGCGGGGTAGCCTAACCCCGTGTCGAGGTATTCGCTTTACTCCCCCAGGTTGCCGGTTTGGTACCGGGTTAGTTAGGCTCCGCCTAGTCATGGAAATAAATGAAAGGATTAAGCTTTCGTCGGTGGTTTTTTTTTGGGATGAGCCACGCATACCACCTCCATTCGAAGCCGTAATGGCATCCGAATACGGTGTGGCCATAGACTGATTTGCGGGGCGTGTCGATGTAAATGTTTTCATCCTGGTACCAGT